AGACCCACTCACTCGTCTGACCCGGGCGGGGGGATCAACCATCACCCGCCCGGGGACTCGTGAGGGTTGAGGTCCGTTCCCGGCTTGAGCGGCAGCAGCGAGACGTCTTCTCTCTCTTGTCCCCAGCAAGACGAACTCCCGCTCCACTCTCACACACCTTCTTATATCCCCCTCCCAATTGTTAAGCTCCTCCCTTGTGTCTCTTTAGGGCCACACAGGCTGGCGCCTGTCAGGCCATCAATCACCCCTTATCGCAGTCCCCCTGGCAACACCTCCGGTGTCAGCTTGCAACCCCGGGCCAACCCCGTCTGCACCCGATTCTCCCCTTAATGAGGTGGAGGTTTGCTCGTGCAACCTCACGTTGCACACGCGCACCTGCCTGCCCTCGGTTGCCCTCGGCCAACAGTGCACACCGCGTATTTTACCACACTACAGTAGTATCTGGCTCGACAGTCGTATCTACTGACTCTATAGTAGTATCTGCTGACTCTGTAGTTGTAGCCACTGACTGTACAGTATTATCAACTGAGCCCAGTAGTAGCTACTGACTGTATAGTAGTATCTACTTACTGTAGTAGCAACTACTGACCGTAGAAGTATCTACTGACCCTACAGTAGTATCTACTGACTCTACAGTATTAACTAACTCTATCATAGTAACTTCTGACTCTACAGCAGCATCTGCAGACTCTAAAGCAGTATCTGCTGATTATAGCAGTATCTACTGCCTCTATAGTAGTATCTACTGACTCAGTAGCAGTATATACTGACTATAGTGGTATCTACAGACTGTAGTATATATACTGTCTCTATAGTAGTACTTACCAACTATAGTAGTAACTACTGACCCTACAATAGTATCTACTGCATCTACAGTAATATCTACTGACTATAGTCGTAAAAACAAACGGTTTCCCTTAAAATCTTCTGCTGCTAGACCACCCAGACTTTATGGCTTACCAAAAATCCATGAAGAATGTACACCCCTTCATCCCATCGTCTCCACCATTGGTTCACCCACCTATAAACTGGCCCGATATCTGTCTGAGACCTTGCAGCCATTCACTGGTAAGACCACCTCTTCTGTTTTTAACTCAGCTCATCTGGTATCATAAATTAAAGACATCTCACTATCCTCATGTGATTTGCTCGTTAGTTTTGATGTAGTTTCTTTATTCAAAGTTCCTGTGCCCGATACCATTGCAATAATTTAAGATTTGGTCCAACAAGGACTGAACGCTGATGTACCAGCCCTGGTGAGACACTGCCTCACCAATACATGCTTCACATAGAATACAACATTCGACAAACGAACTGAAGGCAACCCAATGGGTTCTCCCTTATCTCCGGCTGTGGCCAACATTTTCATAGAAAAATTTGAGACGGACACCAGTCCAGGCATCCACTCTACGTCCGTCATTGTGGAAGAGATATGTGTATGACACATTTGTCATCTGGCAACATGGCCGACCGGCTCTGAAACAATTCTTCAACCACATCAATTCCATACACCCAGCAATCAAATTCACCATGGAGGTAGAAAAGGATGTCATGCTATCTTTCTTGGATGCCGTAATTAAAAAGAGACCAGATGGCTCATTGAGCCACTCTGTCTAAGGAAACTAACCCATATTGACGCCTACCTAAAACCTGATTCCCACCACCATCCATCCCAGAAGAATTCCCTCATCAAAATGCTACACCAGAGAGCTCAATGCATCTTCGACCATGAACACCTGACCAGTGAACTCAAAACGTACACCAGGCTCTCAAGGCAAATGGATATTTTGACTACACAACCCACAAAGCCATTACCCCAACCGTGCAGAAGGAGCCATCTGAAGCTCCAATCAAAACCATCACCTTGCCTTACATCGCAGGGATAACCAAAAAGATTTAAAAATCTTGAACAAACACAAGATCCAGGTCCGATTTAACACAGTGCATAAAATTTGTGATCTGATCCCTTCTGTGAAGGACAAGATTCCTGACATGCAATATCTTGGCGTCTACAAACTAAGTTGTATCTGCGGCAGCAGTTACATTGGGGAAACTAAACGACATATCTCGGACTGTGTTCGTGAACATAAGGCAGATCTGAAACACGGCAGGATCAATACTTTTGCCATGGCTGATGATTACTTTAATGCGGCTGGCTCAAATGAAATTGATTTCTCTAAGACGATGGTACTTTGCAAGCCGACTGGCTATCAACAAAGATTAGTTCACAAAGCCATCCATTTATACAGACACAGACACAATTTCAACCAAGATGACGGTTAAAAACTCAGCAACCATTGGAAAGATGTCATCAACCACTTTGGGTCATAACTTGATTTGTGTTTTCATGTCAACCTCTACTGTCAGCAGTGTGGATGTGTGTAGTGAGGTGCAATGCCGCCCCCCCCCCCATCTCTACCCCCCCTCTCTCCCCCGATCTCTAACCCCCCCCCTCTCTCTCCCCCTATCTCGACCCCCTTCCTCCCCCCATTGTCTACTCCTACATTGGCACTGGCTGACTGGCTGCCTCACCCATGCTGTTGCTGTTTGCGCCACACAGCTCTCCTCCTCCAAGCTCTCGTTCCCCCGCCCACTCACTTTGTAAACCCTTATAAGCAGTTGCATTAGGAGGCTTGCCCCCTCTTTTCTCTCCACCTGATAAAGACCGCTTGTGTTGCGATCGAAACGTCGTGTTTTGCTTTTATTATTTAAATAAAATGTTACTTCATAATTTTCTTATTTTTATTTTCTATCTATGTGACTTTACTGAAAGAACCAAGAATATCTAAAGTAGTATCTGCTGACTCTATAGCAGTATGTGTTTACTCTATAGCAGTATCTGCTTACTCTACAACAGTATCTATATAACTACAGTAGTATCTACAGACTCTATAGTCTTATATACCAACTCTATAATGGTATCTATTGACTCTACAGCAGTTAACTACTAACTTCAGAGAGTGCCGTGGTGAGGCCTAGTCCCGTGCAGAGCCCCCGACCTCGCTTAGATTGCCCAAACGGCTGAGGTGGCACCATTGCAGGCTGGGGATGGGCTGCTTCCCCCCCCCACCGTCCCCCTGCCCGCTCCACAGTCATAGAATCTAAGGACTATAATAGTAGTATCTACCGACCCTATAGTAGTAAGTGCACATATTGGGGAGAAGAGGCCATCACACTGTGAAGAATTTACCTCAGCGTTGTCTATTTTTTTGAATTTTTTACGCGAATGAGAATTCCCCCCCCACCGATCACGTGTGAGCGTTGCTAGGGCAACCACCACCGCAGAGCCGGCTTTCTCGTGCATGCGCAGATGCATGCTCTGGCGCCATCCTGTGCTTAAAAAAGGGAATAAATGGTTAATTTAACTACTTTAAACTTGACAGATCTCAAATACGAAAAGCGCTTTTTCGTCCCGGGACATTCGGCGTGGTATCCGTGTACTTTTTCGATACGTAAACCCCACAGTCTGTCAGTTTAAAACGTCTCCAAGGTAACCAGCGCAGACAGACAGACAGACACACACACAGACAGACAAAAAATACTTATATAGGTAAGATAATGGTTATTTAGCCAGGAATACTTTACTGAGTCTCAACTCTTCTTTAGGAGGGACCTGCCAAGTTTTCTCAGTAGGAGGCGATGTTGTTGGGCAATAATTGTTATACTTTACTTTTATTTACAGCTATGGGAGGAAAACTCGAAGGAAACCCATGCAGAATTGGGGGAGAAAATACAAACTCCACACAGGTAGGCATCCAAGTCGGGAATTGAACCCAGGTCCTTCTTGCTGTTAGGCACGAGTGTTACCACTGCGCCACCACCCTGCCACGTTTCCACACTTCACTGAGGCTCCATGAAACACATGTTTTTAGAAAAGCATGTGTTTCATGCTTTTGACCATTTCATTCCAAATCGTAATTACAAGTGGGCATTCCCAGAATTCATGAAAAAAACTGTGATTTGTCACCTGGATTTTTGGGAAAACTAAATGTCGGACCTTCATTGAGTTGCACCATTAATAGGGAAACAAAAGATATGGATTTATTAAGATGACGCAATCAGCTCTCTCCCATTTGGCAACAGTGACTGGAACACTGAACTCCGTTTTTGGGTCCATATTATGAGATAAGTCCTGCCCATAGCATCATGCTACCTATCTTATCCTGTTAGACTGATGAGATTCTGCGAAGTCCAAACCAGACTATGGCTGTCAGTAACCTGGTACCAGGGCATTACTATTTTATTTCGGTGATTTATCAAATATTTTAACTACTTGTTTATTTTTATGCAATTATTTTTTAATACAAGAACTCATCGATATGAAAATTCGCTATATTCATGCACAAATTATCTACACGTAAAAGGTTTATATCCAATGCAAGTCCTGATGTCTGGGTGACACGCAGACATCACATCAAACCACGAGCACACGTTGTTGTTTTTGTTGTTGTTTAAAACAAAATCACGATTTAAAAATCCCCTTTTTACACACTCGCTGGTTGCAAAAGAAGCCACAGTGCCCCTCCATTATTGCTGCCACATCACAACCTCCCCATCACCATCCTCAAGGCCAGCGATCCCCACATCACAACCTCCCCATCACCATGCTCACATCCAGCGATCCCCACCTCACAACCTCCCCATCACCATCTTCACAGCTCGTGATCCCAACCTCACAACCTCCCCATCACCATCCACACCCCTAAAGCCAGTGATCCCCATAGATTGTTACACTTAGTGACCGGTGGCTCGATGGTAAATGATTCACTCCACCAATCTCACCATTCAGGGTCGCAATTTTATCCAGAACAGATTCTTGTTTGCCTTGGTACTACCTTCTCGATTGTATGGTTTGCAGCGTGGTCAGTATTTCGTTGTGCGGTTTTGCTTTGAGTGATTAAAGAATTGTTGATGATGATGATGATAATAATGATGCACACAGACACAACGCATCACAATGAGGCTCTGGTGGGTGGGTGAGGGGGGAAGGGGTCACCAACCTTAGCGATCAGCTCCACCACCTTCTGACGCTGGTCCATCTCGCGGCGGATCTGGGCTGCCTGCTCGTCTGGGTGATCCAACTGCACAGAGAGAGGAGACCAGACAGGAGGCCTCGGTGGTGAGCAGTGGGGTAACACCCCCTAAGTGGGTGACAGCGCAACTGAATTATCTGTGGACAAGAAAACAAGTTGGCAGCAGTGATTCCTGCTCAAAGGAGCATTGAAGCATTGGTGCCTATCTCATGCTTGCAGGCCTGCTAAGCCAGTGGTGAAAATTCCACAGGCGTTCGTCTATCATCCAAAAAAATCTGTTGGGAGTCCCCACAAAGTGGAACCAACTTTATCGACCCCGAAGTGATGATGGGCTGAGTCAACCCCCAACCAGCAGCTCGCTCTACCGTCGAGCCAGCCGTACACGTGGAGCAACGTGCCAAGTCAGGTGTTGTGCAGTGATCGTACAATACAGCTTAAGGAATACAGCACACATGGCAAATGTTCAACATTTATTTTCAACCTCTGAAGAAGAACAACTACTCCTTCCTTATTTAATCAGCATCTCCTACTCACCTGGCTGGCATTAAAGATGAGCTGGTGCTCCAGCTTCTTGATTCCCAAGATGTGCTGGAACATCTCATACAGCTGATCCTTGCTGAGGATGAGATCCGAGAAGCTGCTGGCTGTTATTCGTGTCGACGGCCTCGGCGCCTCATCACCCATGAAAATCTTGTCAAACTTTGTCATCCAGGAGCTCAGCACGGTCTCCTTGGTCAGTCCCGCAATCTCAGGCATCTGACGAACGCGCTTCTCAATGTAGTTCTTGAAGACTTCTCTGAAGTCGTTGGTGGACCAGCCGCCGCTCTGCACGATACGCGCCACGCGGTTGCTCTTCAAGTAGTCCTGAAGTGGCAAGTCACAGTAGCGGGGGGGGGGGGGGTCAACCTCAGCTGGTAAAGTCCCCGCAAGGTCACGCAAAAAGCAAGCCAACATCAACACACTCACGTGCTTCACCAGTGAATGTACAAGGCTCATAAATGTAATGCAGATGACCACGTAAATATAAATGTGTAGTTAAACCCGCCACCACCCGACACAGACAATTAGTAAGGTTTGTCACGTAAACAAAACATGCCAATTAGTTACTACCGTATTTTCCCGCATACACATATAACCCGCAAGCACATATACCCCGCAAAAATAGCGTTTTGTGCAAAACAAATTTCAGATAGTCTGCATCATCATATACCCTGCATGCATTCATATGTTTAACGTCATTGCCGCAGCTTAATTCCATCATATTAATACAAAGTTTACATTTGTAATACATTCCACTATCAATTGTTAACATTAAAATCATAACGTGCACAAAGGAAACAAACTAACCGGAAACGAGAGAACTTAAAACAGTAAATAAGTAACAAAAGTAAATATCCAATAAATAAGTAACACGTAACTGGTAGATACAGTGAGGGAAAAAAGTATTTGATCCCCTGCTGATTTTGTACGTTTGCCCACTGACAAATAAATTATCAGTTTATAATTTTAATGGTAGGTTTAATTGAACAGTGAGAGACAGAAAAACAAAAAGAAAATCCAGAAAAAGGCATGTCAAAAATGTTAAAAATTGATATGCATTTTAATGAGGGAAATAAGTATTTGACCCCCTCTCAATCAGAAAGATTTCTGGCTCCCAGGTGTCTTTTATACAGGTAACGAGCTAAGATTAGGAGCACACTCTTAAAGGGAGTGCTCCTAATCTCAGCTTGTTACCTGTATAAAAGACACCTGTCCACAGAAGCAATCAATCGCAAATGGAAGGAACACAAAAGAACTGTCAATCTCCCTCGGCCTTGGGCTCCATGGAAGATCTCACCTCGTGGAGTTGCAATGATCATCAGAACGGTGAGGAATCAGCCCAGAACTACACGGGAGGTTCTTGTCAATGATTTCAAGGCAGCTGGGATCATAGTCACCAGGAAAACAATTGGTAACACACTACGTCGTGAAGGACTGAAATCCTGCAGCGCACGCAAGGTTCCTCTGCTCAAGAAAGCACATATACATGCCCGTCTGAAGTTTGCCAATGAACATCTGAATGATTCAGAGGACAACTGGGTGAAAGTGTTGTGGTCAGATGAGACCAAAATGGAGCTCTTTGGCATCAACTCAACTCGCTGTGTTTGGAGGAGGAGGAATGCTGCCTATGACCCCAAGAACACCATCCCCACCGTCAAACATGGAGGTGGAAACATTATGCTTTGGGTGTATTTTTCTGCTAAGGAGACAGGACAACTTCACCGCATCAAAGGGACGATGGACGGGGCCATGTACCGTCAAATCTTGGGTGAGAACCTCCTTCCCTCAGCTAGGGCATTGAAAATGGGTCGTGGATGGGTATTCCAGCATGACAATGACCCAAAACACACGGCCAAGGCAACAAAGGAGTGGCTCAAGAAGAAGAACATTAAGGTCCTGGAGTGGCCTAGCCAGTCTCCAGACCTTAATCCCATAGAAATTCTGTGTAGGGAGCTGAAGGTTCGAGTTGCCAAACGTCAGCCTCGAAACCTTAATGACTTGGAGAAGATCTGCAAAGAGGAGTGGGACAAAATCCCTCCTGAGATGTGTGCAAACCTGGTGGCCAACTACAATAAACGTCTGACCTCTGTGATTGCCAACAAGGGTTTTGCCACCAAGTACTCAGTCATGTTTTGCAGAGGGGTCAAATACTTATTTACCTCATTAAAATGCAAATCAATTTATAACATTTTTGACATGCGTTTTTCTGGATTATTTTGTTGTTATTCTGTCTCTCACTGTTCAAATAAACCTACCATTAAAATTATAGACTGATAATTTCTTTGTCAGTGGGCAAACGTACAAAATCATCAGGGGATCAAATACTTTTTTCCCTCACTGTAAGTAAGCGTACTGTTAGGCATACCAACATTCGACCTCATCATATTACAGCTACCGGACCGGTAGTTACCCCTTTACAGTTTTAGCACTGGTAGATTGCGCACTGCGCAGACAATAGCGGCACTACGGTGACGCCATTGCCTCCTGGCAACAAAGCCATTGGAAGTTTGATACAAATCTCATGGTCGCGACTGTATAGTGCTCAGCCAATAGCAGCGGCCTAAGGGACTCAGCAATTATGATTTTGCGTCTGGTAGATGCTTGTTAAGGCCCTTCACATTGTGCAATCCATAGCCTCAGCTGAAACTTTCGCACCCCCCTACAGCCACTGAAAGTATTACGGTAAACAAAGTGAGCACACTTCAAACATTGTCGTTTCATTGTACAAACAATTCGAATCATTTAAAACGTGATAACATGTGCAATTTTAGTGTGAGTGGTTTATTCAGCAGTGCTTTAGTCAAAGGTAAGTGTTGCATAGTGGATAGTCCTACCATGAAAACATTAAACGAGTTATGACATCTCACACGTGTAAAATATTTTTGGGATAGCCCGCACCTCCATATACCCCACAGGGTCTTGTTTTGTTTGTAAAAAGTAGTATACCCCGCGGGTTATATGCGGGAAAATACGGTAGTTTAGCACACCGGTGTGTTGGAGAGTAAACCTACTACAACATTTACAATCCGAGTTCCGTGACATTTCGCCAATAATTACAACCAGCCTCATCAGGCGACAGCCAGAGTTGTGGAGAAATCCTCCTCTTGTTTGGTCTTAAATAGAGGAGTAAATGTGATGTTGTCACTTGTGAGCCAATCAGGTGTGAAGACCAGACCGGGGGGGAGGGAGGGGATTAATATATGCATATAAGTTACAATGGATATCCATTACCGGTTGTGTTATTCATAGGGTAAGCAATATAGACCATGCATGCACACCATTCATGCATATCCTGCCCTTTTTAGGTGCAAGAAATCACAATACCTGCTATTGGCTGCTCACAGTTAATCACGATCGACGTATGGTGACCTGTATAGGCATGCAGTTACTTGATAATTCTCTTCCAAGCACCACTAAGCCTGTAGCTATTTGAATGGTTCAAATTATTTTATTTCTCTCAATTTCGATAGATTCTCTAATTAGTCTTGGCTTATAGTAGCTAGTTTTGCGCAGAACTTCAAAATTATCAAAATAAATTGAGTGTCCTTGTTGGGACGAGTGTTCTGCCATTGCGAACAGGTGTGTTTGGGAGTGTTTAATATACCTTTGGAGTTCTTTTAGCCTGATGCTGATCATTCGTTCTATCTGACCAACATAGCAGTTGCTACAGGAGCAATTAATCCGGTACACACCTTCTGCTGATAACTTCAGTAATATACTTATCCCTTCTTTAAGACAAAAACAGGAACATTTCTCCACAACTCTGGCTGTCGCCTGATGAGGCTGGTTGTAATTACTGGTTAAACGTCTTACTCGAATTGTAAATGTTGTTTTGGATTTGCTCTCCAACACACCGGTGTGCTGTATTCGTAACTAATTGGCATGTTTTGTTTACGTGACAAATCTTACTAATTGGCTGTCGGGTGGTGGTTGGTTTAATGACGCATTTATATTTATGTGATATAACCCAAAAACCTCTATTATGGATAATATTGATAGTGAAAGCCTACATGTTAAACTGGTAGAAACCTCTTTGCAAAAAGCTAATGTGTCCAGAAATCCTGTTAACTCGAGGGGCAATCAATGTGTGGCCATTCCTGCTTTCCACAGCCTCCTCTCCTGTTTCCCACACAACTTTGTGCAAGAGTACAGCATCGCATGCTACAACATTCCATTTGTATTTTACCCATGGAAACTAAGGGACAGAATGAGTTGAGGAATAATGCATGCTAGCGATGTTTTGACATGATACAACGTTATTTATTTGTCTAATTATTATCTTACCTATAAACGTAAGTTTTTGTATGTCTGTCTGTCTGTGTGCACGCAACTTGCGAAGGATTTGGCTCGTGAACTGTGGGGTTCACATTTTAAAAAAGTAGCCGGGCAGCACGCCGTAAGCCCCATGGTGAGCCAGCGCTATTCCGTTTTCCCATCCGTCAACGTTAAAGTAGTTATATTGACAATTTAGTGCTATTCAGCATTATTCAATTATTCCTTCGCGCCGCTAAAGCTGCCTGGGGGTTGCCCCTAGCAACGCACACGCGTCATCGGTGGAGGGCGTGGGTTTATTTCTCCTTCACGCTCAAAATGCAAAAAAAATACACAACGCTAAGGTAAATTAATCAAAGTGTCATGACCTCTTCTCTCCCCCCCACCTCAATGTGTGCACTTACTACTATAGGGTCGGTAGATACAAATATTATAGTGCTTAAATAATATTATTGTAGCGTGGGTGCGGGGATGGTGGGCGGGGGTAGCGGCTCAGCCCCCAGCCTCGGCCGGCTGGGCAATCTAGGCGAGGCCGGGGGCTCTGCACGGGACTAGGCCTCACTAGGGCACTCTGTCAGGTTAGTAGTTTGTGCTATAGAGTCGATATATACTGCTATAGAGTCAGCATGTACTACTGTAGTGATAGCAGGTCACACCACAGTCAATATGCACTGATGTAATCATAGCAGGGACCACCACAGTCAGTATGCACTACTGTTGTGAAAGCAGGTACAACCACAGTATGCACTGCTGTAATCATAGCAGGTACCACCACAGTCAGTATGCACTGCTGTAGTCATAGCAGGTACCACCACAGTCAGTATGCACTGCTGTAGTCATAGCAGGTACCACCACAGTCAGTGGTCATAGCAGGTACCACCACAGTCAGTATGCACTGATGTGGTGAAGCCAGGTACCACCACAGTCAGTATGCACTGCTGGAGTGAAAGCAGGAACCAACACAGTCGTTATGCAATACTATAGTAATAGCAGGTACCACCACAGTCGGTATGCACTGCTATAGTGAAAGCAGGTACACCAGAGTCGGAATGCACTGCTGTAGTCATAGCAGGTACCACCAAGTCAGTATGTACTGCTGTAGTGAAAGCAGGTACCACCAAAGTCATTATGCACTTCTGTAGTGATAGCAGGAACCATCAGTCAGTATGCACTGCTGTAGTGAAAGCAGGTACCACCACAGCAGTATGCACTGCTGTAAACATAGCAGGTACCACCACAGTGAGTAAGCACTGCTGTAGTGATAGCAGGCACCACCACAGTCGGTAATGCATTGCTGTAGTGAAAGCAGGTACCACCACAGTCATTATGCACTGCTGTAAGCATAGAAGGTACCACCACAGTCAGTATACCCTGCTGTTATCATATCAGGTACCACCACAGTCGGTATGCACTGCTGTAATAATAGCAGGTACCACCACAGTCGGTATGCACTGCTGTAGTGAAAGTAGATACTGCTATCAAGTTGGTAGATACTGCTATATAGAATTTAACACGTAGGCTTTCGTGACCAATATCATTCATAATAAACATTTTTTACTGTTTGCCCATGTCGGGTGGTGGAGGCTTACGACACATTTATAAACAACGCGATCTAACTCAAAAACTTTTATTATGACTGCTATATAGAGTTAGTAGATACTAAAACAGTCAGTATATACCACTATGGTCAGTAAATACTGTTTCAGTCAGTAAATACTACTATACAGTCAGTAGCTACTACTGGCTCAGTAGATACTACTGTACAGTCAGTAGATACAACTACAGAGTCAATAGATACTACTTACTCTTTTGCATGTAGGGTTGTGTAGGTATATATACCTACGCGGGGGTAAATATATTTTCTGAGGGGGAGGGGGGTCGACATTTTTCGCAAACCTTTTAGATCAACTATTTACGCCCAACTTTCTATAACTTTTTAGACTCCTGCAAGCCTCTTATAATTTTGTTGGTGGAGAAATTAACAAATGGCCCACCAGGCTTTCACAATTGCTTAGTATGTGTATGTATATGTAAGGTTTTTAAGAAAAGTTTTAAAATATATTTTTCGCCCGGGCAACGCCGGGTACTTCCCGCTAGTTATATATAAGACATAACCAAAAAAATTTGCAACGCTTTTCCTTAATCCATCGCCATGGAGGCGAGGGTTGGTGGATCGCAGAAATGTTGTCCCTTCTCGTGGGCGTCCAGGAGGGAGTTACACAACCATAACACGTCAGGAGAAGGCGGTACAGCAAAAATATGGACTCCACCTCAAGCCCCTAATTATAATATATATTCAAATATGCTCAAAATGTCCCCCGTAATATATTGTCAAAAAATATTTTTGTAAACAATAACTGCGATGCTATGTAAATAAAAACAACAATTTGCTAAACCTTGGCCACAATATCTGATCTTCATATACAGTAACAGTGCATAGATTTCTGTTCATATGATTGTGGTTATGGTTGTACTTTATGAATCCCTAATCTCTGCCATTACATACAATGAAACAAGAAAAGGTAAAAAAAAGAAAAACAGCAATGTAATACAATACACCATTAGACATTATTGTAAAAAATAAATAAAAAGTCCATCCCATGTATTAGTGATTTTTTAAAAATATTTTAGGCAGGTAATGGCAGGAAATTAGTTTTCAAATTTATAATTTTGTCTGGGGGGGACCCCAGACCACCTGGAAGATTTGGTCCCCCCCAATGTTGACTCCATGACAACGGCCTTGCTCCACCTGTTCCGTCCGTATGGGAGAAAGTGCTGCCCCATCGAACGTGTGGGTTTTCCCCAGGTGTTCCGGTTTCCTCTCACACGTAAATGCTAATTAATTGGTCGACAACATCTGAATCTAGAGTGGGCAACTGTTTGTGCCAGTTTACCGCGTGGCATTTGCCTTTCTCGCTAGTCTGTGAATCCTCGCTACTCTGAGTCATTCCCTCTAAATTCACAGCAATCTGGCAAGTGAAATCGATTAATGCAAAATAAATCCAATGCTTCAGCATGCCACCATGAGGAGTTTCAAGTCTCTAACATTTCGTATTCGGAACACTCATCAATATGCACCCTGGTTCGTGATGTGGAATCTGAAAGATATCAGCAAGTGGCTTGAGATATTTACTCTGGTAGTGGATGTACGTTTTGAGCTTCCAGATGTCTGGATGTGAAGCGGTTGTAAGATGCAACATTATCAGACTTAAAATGTTTCATAATACAGGTATTTTTGGGGTTAGATGGCATGAATATATAAAAGTGTCATTAAACCCACCACCACCCGACACAGCCATTTAGTAAGGTTTGTCAAGTAAACAGAACATGCCAGTTCGTGTGTTGGAGAGCAAATCCGCACATTCTGTTTACGTGACAAACTGAACTAATTGGCTGTCGGGTGGTGGCGGGTTGAACGACACTTTTTTTAAATGATGCAATTTAACCCAAAAAAACGGTATTATGGATGATATTGATCGTGAAAGCCTACGTGTTAAACTGTTAAAATGTTTATCAGGGAGAGTATGGTTTCATTGATGTGTGGGAGCTGTAGTTTAGCGGTTAGCATGCTGCGCTAAAAACCTGGTGACCCCGAGTTCTCTTTCCGCTCACAGCCAACACCAGTGACAATTATCAAATCGGTCCTGGGCTTCCCATGGTCGTTTCAGCCTCTAATGAGTACCTGGTGTGGTGTGGAAACATCGCCACTGGGAAAACAAAAGTGGCCATGCCGGCATTCATGGGTGATTCCTAACAGCACTTACCCCAACAGTTTGTTAAAGGCTCTTTGTCTTTTTGGTTTCCCTCTTCAATGCTAGGAGCTGGGCCATGACAGCACCACAATTTATATATTAAAAAAATCGACAAAAAATGTTAAAATGCTCTTTTAATCATAGCTCCCCTGTGTCAACGCATTATTATCTGTGGGTGCAACTGATAGAGACACATTGTTCTCCAGAGAGCGGCTTCTCCTATAAAAGTGCACATTTACAGAGAACATACCTCGTAATAAAACTTGACAACGCTAACAAATGCTTCATCGGTCACGATCTGGGAATCTCCTTGCAGGAAGACGGTGAAGCGGTCCTTGATGGATACGAGCTGCTGCTTGTTCACCTGCAATATTAATGCGCCACACACCGCTGCCATCACATCACAGCCATCGCACCTCCGATTAGCACAGTTAGCTATGTACGGTGTGAAAGAAGTTTAATGTAGGTATATACGGCGTGCGAAATTCACAGACCGAGAGCCACGAATAGGACTTCATTCAGGTGCGAGCATAAACTGTTTCCACCCAATTCAGTAATAGAGTGGCCAAACCAGCAGGAAATAGCAATCAGCAGTTATTATTACACTTTCAGGAGGGTCTCAATGCTGTTTCAGGAGGGTTCTGGTAAATGTTCAAAGGAGGGGGTAAGGATTGCTTTGTGTGTTTCCCAATTAAGTAATTTACAACTGATTTTTATTTGGCAAATTTGGACGATGATGCCGGCACACAATGGCCTACTCTTCCACGAATTACATCGTGGGATCTTTTACGTCCACTGTCAAGCAGACGGAGCAAAGTATTCTGTAGTCATTAGACCCACAGTATTAACCAGATGCGAACCGTGAACCTCTGCAAACAATCACATCATCGTCATGAAGTGTCACGACCAGATTATTCTGCCAATACAAGGATTATGAGCAGCACCTAATTTTTTCAAAACTCAGTTCTCCTGCAGCGCTGATGACGGTCACACATTCTCACATCTGTACCCGTGGCACACCTTTCGGAATAAGCTATGGATGGACATGTTTTCCTCTGAGATTAAGGTTTAAAGCTTGACTCGAAACTTATGCTTGTTCAGCTTTCAGCTAATTCAGAAAATGGCTTTCAGCATTTTCTCAAATTTATTATTTTGACATGTCTTAGTTTAGGTTCATGAGTTATTGAGTTCATTAATGAAGAGTGCTTGATAAAAATAATTATAATTAAATCAATATTTATTTGTAAAACCATGTATGAATTACTCTCGATGAAGTTTTTTTTTAGACATACAAATAGTATGTACATAAATGGATTATGAGTACACTGTTACACAGGAGTCAGCCATGCGAACTCTGACAAATGCTTCATCAGTCACGATCTGGTGAAGTCTGAGGGTGAGATAGCCCCAGTGAGTGCATTGCCTCACATTTCCAAGATAAAGTGCAGAGTGTGCCATATCCACAGGTGTGACTGAAATAGCATGCATCATGATATAATACACAAATGTAATAATAAAAACCTATCCCTATTGACACACCTGTCAACCCATACGGTTTACCCATATTCTTGTACATCCATTTCAATACAGGATTTTTTAAAATATATTTATTTGTGTTTCTCCCTTGTGATGGGGCTTTGTAGGATGAACATTGAGATGTATAAGGGAATGAGGTGACCAAGAAGGTCTGAATGAGTCTGTAATAAGGTAGGCACTGATAAGGGGTTGATAGGTATGTACTGCATATAAATGGTTGTAGCACATTTGCCTATGGGGCTGATACATGAAGGACGATTTCCACCTCTGTGTAAAGTTCCACGGGCGGTACCTTTCTGCAAAACTCGTTACATGCTATTCATGACCTATGTTTGCTTTAAATTTGCCTGGAGGAAAGGGAGAGGCGCTATTTCACTCTATGAATGGCAGCTGATTCCAGGTTCACAGTCGGGCTCGAGAGTTCTGCCGCGACACCACGAATCACAATCAGGCCTCAATCTGTCTTACACACACATACGAAGACAAAGATCCCCTGTAAAGCCTGTAACAGGCTATTGGGGCAAGTGCTGTTAGTGAGCACCGATGATGGCTGGAACGGTACATGAGGGGGTGAGTGGCCAGCACGACGCCGGACCACCTTTGTCTCCCCAGTGGCGATGATTTTACACACCACACCAGGTACTCATTTAAGGCTGAGTCGACCTTGGGGACGCCCAGGACTGGTTAAGATAATCGACACTGGTGTTGGCCATGAGCGGGAATTGAATTCGGGTCGGTGGGTTCATAGCACAGCACGCAAACTGCTACATTACACTCACAAAGACAAAGACCCCCTGTATAGCCTGAATAGACTGTTGAGGTAAGCGCTGTTAGCTAGCACCAATGAAGGCCGGTACGGCACACGAGGGGGTGGCCAACACCACGCCCGGCCGCCTTTGTCTCCCCAGTGGCGATGTTTTTAGGCACCCACCAGGTACTCATTTGAGGCTGAGTCAACCTCGGGAAGGCCCAGGACCAGTTCAGATAATTGTCTCCGGTGTTGGCCGTGAGCAGGAATCGAATTCGGTTCACTCACACACACACACAAACACACGTGTGGTATGGGCTTTGCCTTCTGTTGAGCCATTTCACAAAGGCAGAGCCATTGGATAAAGCAATGAAGGGCTTCCCACGCTGGTGAACCCGCTGTGCAACGTGTGGAAGCGTTTGAGTGCGAAGGAGCAGTGGGAAGGCTCTCATATAACAAGGTCAAGATGTTATCATCATGGCCAGAGCCAATGATACTACCACACTCAGACCATTATTTCCTTCACTGTGCAAGGCCAAGCAACTGCTGCACTGACTGCACTGTACCTCCCAGGTCTATCCTAACAGTATCCCACTATTGGGCTTCATGTCCTGCCCTTATCTCAGTAGCCTGCTTCACCCCATTCTGCTCATATCGCCCATCAATTGCAAACCTCCACTTCCCAATGACGTCCACAACGCTTGCTTGCTATGCTCCTTTAGATGCCATGCAGTGACCACCGACTTCTGCAATGCATTACACTCTTGAGATAGGAAGCTTCTGTATTTTAGTCATTATTTTGTTCAAGTACAATTGTGACATCAAAGCAGTAACAGAGACGTTGCTTCTCTCTGTATTGCCCATCGCTAAAAGCTGACATTGTCCTCTACTCTTCCAAAGCAGTTCATGTACACTTGATCGAGATTAATGCATTTCAAGAATACAGGAAATAGACCCATTTGTAACGGACCTCACTGTGGGAAGATTGAAATGCAATAATTTGGTGGCGGATTTCCGACCCACGAGCAGGTGCACCAGATGGGGGTGTAACTGCGGGAACACACACGGGTCGATACACAAAAGCAGCGAGGAAGTTGGTCCCATCATCGACTCGAAATCCCTCCAGAGGTCACGGCCACCCGATTCCCACACACCCTGACTCCCCGTTTGGACTGCGTCACGGGTGGAATGGAAGGAGTGTACGGTGCTGCCACTGCAATTTCAGACTATGCTTTTACAAAATATACAAAGTATCTAGACACAGGTCACAACATTGAGAACCGAACATGAGTCTCACACTAAATGCGTTTAACACTTGACAGCTCTGTCCATAACGTGAATGAAAACAGCCTCTATGAATTTACTGAAAGCCGCCAACTAGCACATTGAGCACGAGGATTATATTTCTGTTCCAGGGGTAGTATATATTTTTGTTAACTTACTGCTATAGGGTGTGTACACATATTGACAATTTTTCAATTTGGTGGCCACAGGAGTAGAAAAAAAAATCATTTAATTCTACTTTGTATGGCACGGTGAAATATCCAACATGATGTGTGTATACTGCGGGTCTGCGGAGGCTTGGGGGATTGCCGGTGATATTGATGGCAAATCGGCGGTGCGGGCAGTGCCAGATTATGTTATTGATGGTCTGGTTCTAGTTGTAACCGCAGCAGTCACTGTGGGGACTGTTCTTCAATTGCCATCGATGAAGGAGGTGACGGCATCTGCCATGCAATGTTCTGCAGCAATTTAGGGCTGACCACTTTTTGTCCAGCAAAGGACATAGACCACAATCTCTAGAATATTCTTCTGAACTGGAAACCACCAAATCCCAACAGAAAACACATCACAGGAAGTCATCTCAACATATGGTAGTCATCCCCCATCGTTTTTCTAGGCTTACTTGGGATAGCCTGGGACCCATTGAAGGGCCACAGCCTCGGACAACCGAGAATGCCCTGGGACACAAGTGGCATCCACAACGCAGGTGTCACCTGTCACACTGGTGACACCTGTCATACATGTGTAGTGGAATAACGCGCGTGGAGTGCACGCATGTGCGAGTTACGGACAAGTGAGGTCGCATCGGGATGACCAGGTTACGGCGAAAGGGAGTAATGGAGAGGAGACGGCTAATTAAGATGCATGCAGTGATGGCTGGCTGTAAATGCAGGCGCGGAACAGGCGCCAGGTTGATGGGAATTGAGGCGATAACGGCGGAAGCTACGGGCGTGAGGCGACGGAAGGTCACCAGCTTAATTCATGAGGAGTTAATGAGGAAGGGGATATATACGGGAGCGTGAGAGAGAGGGGTTGAGTTGATCGGAGTGAAGACAAGAGGAAAGACAAGAGAAGTCCCAGGCTCCGCTCTCCACACCTCGCCCTCTCCAGCGGTGATGGCTAGACCCCCACTGGAGGCAAGGGCGAGGTTGGAGAGGCGAGGGTAGAAAGGTTAGCAGTAGAGAAGCTAGCGGAATCCTAAGTGTGAGCATGCGAAGCTAGCAGTAGAGAAGTTAGTGGAATCCTATGTGTAGCGTGCGAAGCTAGCAGTAGAGAAGCGAGTGGAATCCTAAGTGTGAGAAGGCTAGCAGTAGAGAAGCTAGCAGAGAGTATAGCTAGCAGTGGAGAAGCTAGCAGAGTATATAGCGGAAGACTTGCAGTGGAGAAGCTAGCAGGGAAAATAGTGTAAGGCTATCAGTGGAGGAGCTAGCAGAGTATATAGCGGTAGGTTAGCAGTAGAGAAGCGAGCAGAAGATATAGTGAGAGGCTAGCAGTGGAGAGGCTAGCAGAGTGTACGGTGGGAAGCTATCAGAGTGTGTAGTGGTAGGCCAGCAGCAGAGAGAGCGAATTGAGCGGAGTGTGGCAGACAGGCTAGCAGTGGAGAGGCTAGGAGAGTGAGAGAGAGAACAGGCTAGCAGTGGAGAAGCTAGGAGAGTGAGAGAGAGAGAGAAGGCAAGCAGTGGAGAGGCTGAGAGAGAGAGGGGGAGCGGAGCGAGCGGAGCGATCTATGGGGTGTCGAACGTGAGGAGTTCTGTTCAATAAAAAGTGACACAGGAGAAAAAAAAGAAGTTGTCCGCGTGAAATAAAAACACTACACATGTCACACCTAGCACTCGGGTGACACACGTGACACAGGTGACCCCTAGCACACGGGCGACATGCAGCCGACGACCATGGCTCACCTTGGGCTGGCGCCGGGCCATGTCGGTCACCTGCTTGGCGTTGAAGGGATACGCCACGCAACGTGACACGAACACATAGAGCTGCATGCGGCGCCTCCTGTCCTCGTCGCCGTCGTCGCGGAAGCAGCAGCTGCTGCTCACCGAGGGGCTGGGGCTGCTGGAGCGCAGGCTGCTGGAGCGGCTCACCGACGCCGAGGGCAGCTGGGGAAGGCGGCTCGGGGCCGGGCTCGCCGAGCGGACGGGGCCCCCCAGTGACGCGCAGTCGCTCGAGCAGCCCGCATCCCCCGCCTCATCCAAGTCGACCCTCACGAAGTCTGAGAGCTCCGACGACTCCTCGTCGCTTGACGACGGCTCCAGCATGGTGACGGACGGCTGTGGAAAAGGTTAAGGGCACCATTGAGCGGTGGTGGTGGTGGATGATGAGGGGTATTATTAGTACACAGTCTGTTCTCCTATTAGATGTGTTTTCATAACACGAATCAGATATATAATGCGATTAATGTATTAGCGAACACATTTTTTAGAAAGCGGATATGAATTGAATATTCCGCGATTCAGTAAACAGAACTACGTCGCACGAGTAGGGATAAGCGGTTGTACGGCTGCCTCGGCGATGCATCACACAAGGCAGGATGCTGCTGGATGCTTTGAGATGCTGCCCACGTGCCTCAGTCTTTGTTCAGCCTGTATATGCAGCTTACGTGTTATCGCAGGCTGTGCTTTACCCTATTTTATATATTTTTAGTGACTGTGAATGTCACTGTGTGGTGCTGACCTTGCGAGGCCACGGCGGATAATGTGTTGTCATTATGTGCAGCCCGGTTACTGGGCGTAGTACCAGCCCTAGCGGGGCTTGGGTGAGCGCTGGTTAGCGCAGAGGCACCACGTACAGTGTGCGGTGCGAGCTTCCGGTGAGGGAGCGAGAGAGAGTGTCAGCCAGCCAGGATTACGTTGGGGCATGATACGCTGGTTGACCTGCCGACACGTGACCAGATGATATTGGAGGGGGGCCACCGGTAGACGGGGGCCGCTGGGTGGTCATGTGGTATGGAGGAGCTCTCGGGAGCCTTCGGGAAAGAGCTCGAGATATCTAGAAGGTGGGTGGGGCGAGAGGCGGAGCCAGCCCCAGCCCGGGCCGATATAACGGGGGCCCCGCATGGGGCTCGGGGTTCTTGACTGTTGGTGAATGAAGATCCAAGCCGGGTTGAAGAAGTCTCTAGCCACGCGGTCCGGGACCTAGCTCGTGGGCCGGACCGGGATAGCGGGACCGTGTCTAGTTCTACCGTAGCGTGGTTAGATGGGATGGGCGTTCAACACCCGAGTTTAGGTTACGTTATGTTGTGTTGAGTTGATGTAATAAATAGTGTTGCTCCCAAGACAACGTCTGCGACTCAGTTGGACTCACTACATATTTATTAAAATGCAATATTTCCATAATGTGGTGTTCTTCAGCAACGCAACTACCGCGTTATAGGAGAACAGGCTGTATTAGTACTTAGTATGCTTGTCAAACCAAGGAAGCCACACTGCTAAATTGAACGCCGGAGGGGGAGATGTTGCTGCTGTGTGCACGTAATTTTTTTGTGCAATCACGTTGCATTTGCTCCGGGCTGCTCAACAAATAAATTACTGATTACGTCAAGGAGACCGCACTAACTCCGGTCATCCTCGCAGCGGCCTATTTAACCACCCGCCGAATGTAGACAGTCATGGCATGGTATGCATTTAGCTGTGCCATTGCAACTGTCAGGAACACTCTTCCTTCTGACAATCGAAGCCCACTGGAACAGAGCACTTTCAAGTATAAATTAAAAACAAATGTATTTAGGGCTGTTTTATTCGTATAGTCTGTTGTCCTTCCCCCTCACCTCTGATTAGCGTGGCTGGCTAAGCACAGCGCGAAAGAAGTTCAACATACATACGTCTTCAGGTTTGGGAGAAAACCCAAGAAACCGGAAGAAACCCATGCAGCATAGGGGGAGAATATATATACTCCACACAGAAAGGTCTCCTAATGGGGAATCAAACCTAGGGCCTCCTTGCTGAGACACAAATGGTACCACTGTACCACCCTAGCACCTGAACTATTTTAAACATTTTTTTTAAGTCAGGTAAGGCCCACTGAGCTATACAGCTCTTTTTCATAAGCGATATGGCCACGAATGATAGCTCAAGTTGCTTATCACGTGGAAATTTGTAGCATCTAAATACTGGGAGAGAGACATGCAAACTCCAAATATACAGCAAGAGTCCAGGTCATGATCGAACCCACGAACGCCTGCATACCTTGCGAGGTAGTTAACATCTTGAGCGCCCTGTTATTGATGATGACAACATCTCATCAAATTCCCCAGATGTTATCAGATATCAGAACCTGATATCAGAACCTGATATCTGATGAGTGATGGGCTTTGTGTCACTGGTTCTCTTTCGTCGACGCGCTTGCCTCACAGCGCAGTTGGCAGCGCTGCAGCTTGTGTTGCACATAGACATGACATTAACTTGCTAATCCCCCTCATCTCTCTGCCTAATTTCTCCCATCAACATCGTGCTAATCTCCCATTAACACTGCTGTATGCGGGGACGATACCTTTTACGGTGACGGAAGCTCATTTCATGCTAATCTCTCTCCCTAATATCTCTCTCCATAATCTCCTCCATTAACACAACTGACGTGCTTGCATCCGGGGATGGAATTCCTTTCCAGCTCAGACCCCGCTTGCTTGCCCATCGCCACATATATAACCTCCTTGTTGTAGCTGCTCTCTCGCTGGTTCAGCAGTTCCACTGCTGGATTATCTTTTCTGCCTGAGGACGACCGCTTGTGTTGCGATCGAAACGTCGTGATATATTTTTTTTATTTTTGTACCTACGTGACTTTACCGAAAGAACCAAAAAGTATGGCTTCCTGCAGTCACGAAAGCTTCAAATCAAGATAGTACAAAGACTATGCAAGTATCAAAACACTTATAGCTCGGGTTGAGCAGTCATCTAAGGGGGGTTTTTGCCAGTTTCCAAAATGATCAAAACTAAGAATAGATTTTACCCTTTCTGGCACTAAAACAGGTGTTAAGATTTTGATTTAAAGCTTTCGTGACTGCAGTAATTCATATTCTTAGTTTTTTCGGTAAAGTCACGTTGAAGGGAAACAACAAAATAATAAAATATATATAAAACAATAAAAAAATTCTCACGACGTTTCGACCATAACTCAAACGGTCGTCTTCAGGTGTGTTGGTTTGCATAAATTTATTTTTAAATGGCGTATTTATTTATTTATAAAAAAAACGTTAGCAGCACGCGCAACGATTTGGCAGTTTATTTAGGACTAGTCCATCTATATTCTGAAAAGAGGAGGGGGGAGACGAAATGTTTTATAATGTATGCTGTCTGAAAGCCACTGTAAGCGTGAACAATCAATTAAGACCTGAAATGGTTTATCAAATCTTTCCAATGATTGCTAAGATAGAATCCATCTTCTCGGTTGAAATTGTCTCTGTGCTTGTATATGTGGATAGCCTCATGAACGAATCTCTCATGGAAGCCAGATGGCTTACAAAGAACCTCTGTCTTGGAAAAGTCAATGGCATGTGAGCCTACTGAATTAGAACAATGATCTGCTACGGCCGAGGTGTTGGTCCTACCGTGTTTAAGGTCTGCTTTGTGTTCACGAATGCGGTCCGAGACATGGCGTTTGGTTTCTCCAATGTAACTACTACCACAGAGGCAACTTAGTTTGTAGACACCAGGGTATTGTATGTCCGGAATCACATCTTTTACAGACGGAACCAGATCACGGATTTTATGTAATGTGTTGAAACGGACCTGGATTTTGTGTTTATTCAAGATTTTGGAGATCTTTTTTGTGATCCCCGCAATGTAGGGTAAAGTGATGGTTTTGAAAGGCTCCTCAAGAGGGTTCTTCTTCATGGTTTGAGTGATAGCTTTGCGGATTGTATAGTCGGAGTAACCATTAGCCCTAAGAGCTTGGTGTACGTGCTTGAGTTCACTGCTTATGTGTTCCTGGTCGGATATGCATTGGGCTATATGATACAGAGTCTTGATGAGAGAATTCTTCTGTGATGGATGGTGGTGCATATCCGACCAGGAACACATAAGCAGTGAACTCAAGCACGTACACCAAGCTCTTAGGGCTAATGGTTACTCCGACTATACAATCCGCAAAGCTATCACTCAAACCATGAAGAAGAACCCTCTTGAGGAGCCTTTCAAAACCATCACTTTACCCTACATTGCGGGGATCACAAAAAAGATCTCCAAAATCTTGAATAAACACAAAATCCAGGTCCGTTTCAACACATTACATAAAATCCGTGATCTGGTTCCGTCTGTAAAAGATGTGATTCCGGACATACAATACCCTGGTGTCTACAAACTAAGTTGCCTCTGTGGTAGTTACATTGGAGAAACCAAACGCCATGTCTCGGACCGCATTCGTGAACACAAAGCAGACCTTAAACACGGTAGGACCAACACCTCGGCCGTAGCAGATCATTGTTCTAATTCAGTAGGCTCACATGCCATTGACTTTTCCAAGACAGAGGTTCTTTGTAAGCCATCTGGCTTCCATGAGAGATTCGTTCATGAGGCTATCCACATATACAAGCACAGAGACAATTTCAACCGAGAAGATGGATTCTATCTTAGCAATCATTGGAAAGATTTGATAAACCATTTCAGGTCTTAATTGATTGTTCACGCTTACAGTGGCTTTCAGACAGCATACATTATAAAACATTTCGTCTCCCCCCTCCTCTTTTCAGAATATAGATGGACTAGTCCTAAATAAACTGCCAAATCGTTGCGCGTGGCGCTAATGTTTTTTTTATAAATAAATGCGCCGTTTAAAAATAAATTTATGCAAACCAACACACCTGAAGACGACCGTTTGAGTTATGGTCGAAACGTCGTGAGAATTTTTTTTATTGTTTTATATATATTTTATTATTTTGTTGTTTCCCTTCAACGTGACTTTACCGAAAAAACTAAGAATATCGGTGTTAAGATGTTCAATCACCAAATATATACCTTTTGCAAGGCATAATGTCTGCATTAACCACACATACTTGTGACAACACATGCTAATATGCTCTGATAATATATGCAGTGCCGGATTATCTTTGTGGCAAAAGTAGATATGCTACGGGCCCCGCACTTTCAAGGAACCCGCGCTAAATGCTTTCAAGCAATCAATTCCGGTTCAGTGATTCTGCACTTGCTCTATTACTAATTTACTATACTGCCTTCAACTTTTATGAACGACTGGGTGTTTAAGGTTAGCGATTTGTCGTATTATCTGCCTGTATAGCAAATAAAAAAATACAATTACTTTAGTATGCAGGTAAAAAGTTTGTGTTTTAATATTTACGTGTGTTTTTTTAGGGCCCCTTTATAACACGTGCTACAGGCCCCGCAACAAGATTAATCCGGCACTGACTATATGCATTGTCTTTGGAAACTGATTGGCCTACACCAGAAACATCATTCTTCATCGCTTTGTCTCACCAGTGTTAGACTAGAGAACAACGCCAAAAGGCGAACAGCACACAAAGGCGATGCAAATATCAAAGCATTAATCGAAAGACCCCGATACTGGCAAAAAGGCTCCTTCTACCTACGTGACTTTACCGAAATAACCAAAGAGTATGGATTCCTGCAGTCACGAAAGCTATAACTCAAGATAGGCTCATGTAGATTTAACTCCTCGACCCGAGCTATTACTGCTTTGATATTTGCTTTGATATCTGAAATTGTATTTGCTCTGTTCGCCTGTTGGTGTGGTTAATCCATACTTTGACGATGCCTTCTAATAATGGGTGTGTATTTGGTGTTTGAACGTAGTAACACTTCCTCTGTATTCTTACCCGGAAAAGGTAAAAACCATGTGTTCTTTCTCATCATCTTGATTCTGACAAAAACAGGTTCCGTGGACAGTAAGAATGATTGATAATAGGAGCGGTAAAGATGCTCCATGATGGTGGTGGTGGTTGTTGATGATGACCGTGGGTGGTGGTTACGGTGGCTGCTCTGGTTAATGGATGTGGATTTTAACCGCGGGGTGTGAGCCACTCGCACCGCACGTCCGCTCAACGTTTAAAGCGACTTCTTGTGACCGTGTGCTTCTTGCTCTGCACAGATGCCGTCTCCGCCACTGGTACCCAGAATTGCTTATCGATTAGTAAAACTAATCTTTTTATTTTAACAGGTAAGGCCCACTTAGCTGGTAAGAAGCGACCTGACCACAAATGAGCACCCAATTAAGTGGCTTATCACGTGGTAACATTATAGCAGCCAAAGACTCTAAACCTGTGTTTCTAAATGTGGAGAGAGAAAACAGAGGACGAGGAGAAAATTCACGAGACAACGGTGAAGAGAGCCATGCAAACTCCAAAATATACAGCAGGCGTCAGGGTCGGAATCGAACCCACAACCTCCTGTAGACCAGACGAGGTTGTTAACATCTCCTAGCCACCGTGATGATGATGAGAGAGAGACATGCAAACTCCAAAATATACAGCAGGCGTCAGGGTCGGGATCGAACCCACAACCTCCTGTATACCAGGCAAGGTTGTTAACATCTCCGAGCCACCGTGGCGCGCCCGGAGACTCGCGACTGGGACAACTTCAGGGCCCGTCACGAACCGGCGCATTTGCCACCGCGGTGCGGCACTGTGAGCGAGCAGTAACGGAGAAGGGCGAGGAGCCAACAATTGGCGCGGGTCACCATTGACCTCTTGGGGGGGGGGGGGGGGCTCTTAGGGAGGAGCCGTGGTGGAGGTGGCGCAGTGCTTCGCTGCGCCATGAACTTGGTCACCCGAGTTCTATTCCCGGCCACATCAGCGGCGTCCTGGGGGAAAGAGGGCGAGGTGGAGGGGGAATAGCCCCCCTCCCCTTTCACCGACCCGCGCTGACAGGCGTGGTGAAGTATGGTCAAACAATCCTCACGACGCGGCGTTGGGGGAAGGCCGCCATCCAGCAGTGGATTGAGGAAGGGCTGCAGGTTGGACGACAGTCTAGGTAGCAGAGGTCTCGTGACCCTCAATAAATTGACCCATAAGATTGTTTCTCTCCTTTGCACATTCGTTTTCAAATAAAACCTTACTAACAAAAAATAAAGTTTTCCACATAATTATTTGGGGGTGGGGGGGGGGAGTCACAAGACATCTGGACCCAGTCTGTACAATGGTCATGATTATGAGAGTGCGTGAGTGGCTGCTGTCGGCCCGGGAACCACTGTACGCACCTGGCCAAGCTGCTGCTGCTGCTTGTGCTGTTGTTGTAGTCGCTGTTGGTGTTGACGTTGTTGTTGTAGTCGCTGCTGTTGTTGTTGTTCAATGGTCGTGCTCCCCGTTCCGCGCGCGGTCGTCGCCGCTCACCTGTTCCGCGTGACGTCACCGCGACGCGGCCAGGTGAGGCGAGGGCGGGGCGGGGCGCCTCCCTCTCGCCCTCTCCCACCAAAGACAAAGATCCCCCGTGTAGCCTGAACAGACTGTTTGGGGCAAGTGCTGATCATTCGTCCTGTTTGCCCAACATAATGTTTACCACACTTGCAGTTAATCCTGTACACACCTTCTGTTGATAGCTTCGGTAATACATCTCTTGTTACAAATATTAATTTCTGTATTTTATGTACCATGCCAAATCTGACTCGGATGTTTTATTTTTCAAAATATCTGGCTAGTTTATAATTTACTCCAGCAATGTACGGTATTTTGATCGTTTTAATTACTTGGGCAGTTTCAATGCTCTTATTTGATTTGGTTTTAGTATTCAATGCCATGTTGATTTGTGCATCATTGTAACCGTTCATTTGCAGCGCTTCTTTAACATGTTGAATTTCACTTCTCAGACTGTCACCATCTGACACTTTGTTTGCTCGATGAATGAGCGTCTTGATAAGAGAAGATTTCTGTGCGGCGTGATGGTGTGACTGCATTCAGATAGGCGTCAGTATGCGTTTTATTTCGGTAAAGACTGTGTTATTTTACCATTTCTACACCGTTCGAGCAGAATATCCAGAAATGGTATACTTCTGTCAGCTTCGACTTCCATGGTGAAGTGGATGGATGGGTTTTGCGAGTTGAGATTATTTAGAAATGTGTATCTTAGCCGTGTGGCCAGACCACTAATGTGTCATCCACATATCTAAACCAAGCAGATGGTTTTAGTGTGCTTGAAGCTATTGCTTTTGTTTCAAAATCTTCAATGTACAAATTCGCTATCACAGGAGACAAAGGGGAGCCCATTGCTGCTCCTTCCTTTTGTTTATAGAAGTCACCTTGCCACAATAAGTAAGTGTTCTTTAGACAATGTTCAGCTCGTCTTGGGATATCTTTGGCTAAACCTTTGTTCGTTACCAGAGTAACGAGTAATTTAATTGACTCGTTGACCAGAACCCTCGTGAACAGAGGTCACAAAAACTTACGAGAATATCATTAGGGTTAAGCTTAATATCTTTAATTATATGTATGAGATGTTCAGAGTTTTTGATGAACGATGAGGTCCTACCGATGTAGGGCTGTATTTGTTCCGTTACATATTGTGCTAATTTGTACGTTGCAGAGCCTATTGTACTATCTATGGGTCTTAATGGGACATCAGGTTTGTGAATTTTTGGTAGCCCATAAAGTCTTGGTGGTTTTGATGCCCTTGGTTTGATCATGTATTGTTATTCCTTGGGAATTGATGACTTGGCAATGATTGCCGTTATTTTACGTTCCAAGGTGCTGGTTAGGTCTCGTTTAATTTTAAGGTAACCTCTATTATGGATATTGGTCGCGAAAGCCTACGTGTTAAATTGATAAATGTAGTTCGTATTCGCAACCACACCACCTGCACTTCTCAAACCACGAACCACACTACCTACACCTCTCAAACCAGTAACCACACCACCTACAATTTCCAAATCAACCACACTTCTCAAACTGGCAACCACACCACCTACACTTTTCAAACCGGCAACCACACCACCCACACTTCTCAAACCAGCAACCACACCACCTACACTTCTCAAACCAGTAACCACAGCACCCGCACTTCGCAAACGAGCAACCACACTACCTACACTTCTCAAACCAGCAACCACACCACCCACACTTCTCAAACAAGTAACCACACCACCTACACTTTTCAAATCAACCACACTTCTCAATCCGGCAAGCACACCACCCACACTTCTCAATCGAGCAACCACACCACATACACTTCTCAAGCCAGCAACCTCACCACCTACACTTCTCAAACCAGCAACCACACTATCTACACTTCTCAAACCAGCAACCACACCTCTCAAACCGGCAACCACAGAAACCACACCACCTACACCACATTTCTCAAACCAACAACCACACCAACCAACTTCTCAAACCGGCAACCACACCACCTACACTTCTCAAACCAGCAACCACACCACCTATACTTTTCAAACCAGCAACCTCACCACCTACACTTCTCAAACCAACAACCACACCACCTACACTTCTCAAACCAGCAACCACACCTCTCAAACCGGCAACCACACCACCCACACCACACTTCTCAAACCAGCAACCACACCACCTATACTTCTCAAACCAGCAACCACACCACCTACACTTCTCAAACCAGCAACCACACCACCCACACTTCTCAAACCAGAAACCACACCATCTACACTTCTCCTGCATGCATCTGTAAAGACAGTACGGAGCGATAGAGGGACAGTATGGTTCTCCGGGACCATGGTTACTAATGGACGTGCTAATGATTGATGGGACAAACGTTGACAGGGTCACGTGATGGGGAGCACGGGATCCAATGGCGGGAAAGTGTAATAAGGGCGGAGATTGACAGAGCCAGGTGCGGTGAGGAGAGGAGAATTCGAGAATAGGGGCGTGGCTGGATCGGGCGAGGGATAAGAGCCAGCGCGAACCGGACCTGGGGGCTGTTGGTGTGGGGAATCGTCTTGAGACTAGAAGCTATGTTGTCTCAGAATAGTCGTCTAACTACCCAAGTGTATATAGTAACTCATAGTTACTCGTCAGTGGATTTTATTTATAATAAATATACAGAAGGCAAGACGGTGTCTCTGAGAGCGACATTACACATGCATGAATAAAAGAATCAAAGAATGAAGGGTATTGATAAAATTAAGACATGCATTCATGAAATAACTGAATAAGTATATCGAACTTGGAGATTAAGGAATTCATTAATGGATAAGCAAATTTATGTTTGGAAGGAAGAAACGATTGAATGCTTGAATAAAATGAATAAAAAATAAAAGCAGGAATGATTAAATGGACACATGGAATGAGCAATTGAAGTAATGTGTGGGAGCTGCTGGAAACCCCTGTATTAAATCACCTTTTACCAATTTAACCATGCTTAAAACAACAAAATAAGATTGTGCCGGAGCCCTTGGGGGAACAGACGTACGATGTTCTGGCCAAACCCAAACTGGCAGAGCTTGTAGACTATACCACCCCCTTCTCCCAGCTTCCTCTGGTTTCCTTCAGAAACAGCAGAAAACCACTATGATTGGCCACGTGGAATGTTGGAACGCTCACTATGAAGAAGCTGGATTGGTACTGTCTGGGCCACTGGAATACCGGATGTCTAGTGGACTGGTTCTTGCTCCAGTCACCATGACGGGGTGGACAGTCCTCCACTCGGCACAGGAAACTTCTATACAAAATGGAGTGGCTCTTCTGAACAATATCATTCAGGGGGGATGGGGTGTGGAGGTGACGTGTGAGGGGCTGAGTCCCAGGCTACTGTGGCCTTGCCTCTACATCAATAGGTTAATACGTAGATTTTGGTAACGGCTATGAAAATATGAAAGAGATCGCAATGGTCTGCCAGAATGGTCTGCCAATAATCAAATATAATTCCTGCAATTATTCTTATAAAGGTTACCTCTGAGATGTACACCAAAGCGTTTGATCTCCGATGGTCTCAATATGAAAGTTCACCAGATGTGTGTCAAGACCGCATGCCGTGAGACTCAAATGCATCGTCTTGTGGGTTTTTATTCAACTTGTATCCAAATATGCCACTATTATAAGTGTGCACTTGTAAAAAAATCCGAGTAGATGTAATCTGGCTATCGAGAAACAAACCTTTGTCTGAATAACGACTGTCGACAAAGAAATGGAAGAACAAATAAAACCACAGCATGATCTAAAAAGGTCAAAACTTTATTCCACTGAAACATTGCTATCTCAGATGCTAGTAAGACTTTGTACCCATCATTAGGGAACGCAATCTCATGACTGTTCAACATTAGCAAAGGTTATTCTAACACAAGTGTCCCGACTGTTGGGAGGTCAGTTCTTATGATTATCTGTATGTCATGACAAGAGGTAATTCCAACACATCGAATATTGTGACTAACATGACCACCTCTGATTAGCACGGTTGGCTATGTACGGTGCAAAAGAAGTTAAACATACATACATTTCGCAGACATATAATGCAACAATGTACTGACGTTACAATCATAGCTTACTTAGTTCACTGCTATGCAAACACAACGTTACTTACTTATGTTAAAGATGCAAATCAAAACAGCTGTTGTTCTGTAGATACTTAGGCTCTATCACGGACCAAAGGAAAAACGTTTGAACCTTCCTTACGGAGAAAAGAGGGCAACAGTCAGAGCCATGTGAGGTGCACTGCTTTACCCCAACTCATGACGTCTCACAGCCACGCTGGAATCAGCTGCCTCTCTACCATGAGTCTCCATGTGGTCTATGGATTATAGTGTGCAAAGCAGACTTTAAACGGAAGTATTCACAGGCCTGTAGCCAGGATATGAGGTGCAATTAGTCTTTTTTTTTCGCAGTAGATTTCAACCGCGGTAATAAATGTCACGTTCATAATCAACTAAACAAGATCTGGTTATGTTGTTGGTTTAAACGTTTGTGGGAAACGCTTAACCTGGTCAAGGGCCGTGGGCGAGAGCTCATGGCGCTCGTGGCAGGACCGACAGCACGTCTCCTCCCTTTACAGGGCGAGCGCCAGCACCGCACGCTGCTTCTCCCGCACCTTGCGCTTGCGCTTCTTGTCCTTCATCTTCTGTGTCGCGTCGACAAACAGGGCCACCTCTTGCTTCGCCTCGATCTCCCTGTGCAGTAGTTGCAGTGCGGCCATGTTGAACCCCACCAAGTCCTACGGGGGGTGCACGGGAACAGGAGGAAAGGTCGATTCGTTAATGCCCAGTGAGCGGCGAGGACTGGCATGGTAAAACGACTTGGATCACGTTTACCAATCGCTGAAGCCAGAATCTGAATATTTATTTATACTGGAGGAATCCGATGCGCTATAGAGCTCTTTCACAGATGTCTAGTAGCGGCTCTGATCTACACACACTTGTGTAGAGGTCTCAATTAAGTGGCTTAACGTTTGGCAATATATAAAAGCCAAATACTTTAACACACGTTTATTAAAAATGTGGGGGGAAAAA